CCTGACCAAAAAACAGAGAACTATTATCATGTCTATACATCAACCCAGGTAAACAATATAAAGGTCTCCAATATTAAAAAACCTGTTCAGAACCAGACAGTAGATAGAATAGAAGAGTCGTACAAATAGAAACTATAAATGTTCCCAATTTCTAGACATATCTGGAACTCCTCAACCAATCGTTCTCAAAAGTCATACAGGTGCTCGCAAACTTCTTTCATATTATCATATTAAGCCTCAAAAACTCACAGTTTTTCTTGTTGTTATTTTCAGGACTGATATATTTGAGCTGTTTCATATGGTACTGGTATTATCACGAGGTAAAACTGTGTATTTTGGTGAGGCTCCGGAAATGATTCAATATTTTACAGATCTTGGCTTCCCCTGTCCTCAGTTGACCAACCCTTCTGACTTTTACCGTAAGTACAACAAATACATAAATATATAAACTGTAGTTATCTGGGTAGAAATTGGAAATCGAAGTCTTGCATCCAACTTTAACTACCCCTTGATATCAGCAAGTTGTAATGGAGAAAGAAACAAAGGACCCACAGTTACACATTATTTTTCTAACCTTCTGTTTTTTCAGTTGATTTGGCGACGATTGATGTAACATCGGAAGAGAAGGAGAAAAGAACTTCGGAAGTTTTAAAGAATCTCTGCCAAGCTCAAAAAGATGCCCAGGAGAAGCAGGAAGCACCGGAACCAGTTAGTAAGGAACTCAGTGATCACACAGTAGCCGGTGCTATGAGGAATCATATTGGGTATCCCGGGTTTTTCACACAATCTTCTGTCCTAGCTAGGTAAGGTTCTATAAATATAGGCCAGTGGCCACACTGTAGCCGGTGCTATGAGGAATCATATTGGGTATCCCGGGTTTTTCACACAATCCTCAGTCCTAACTAGGTAAGGTTCTATAAATATAAGCCAGTGGCCACACTGTAGCCGGTGCTATGAGGAATCATATTGGGTATCCCGGGTTTTTCACACAATCCTCAGTCCTAACTAGGTAAGGTTCTATAAATATAGGCCAGTGATCACACAGTAGCCGGTGCTATGAGGAATCATATTGGGTATCCCGGGTTTTTCACACAATCTTCTGTCCTAACTAGGTAAGGTTCTATAAATATAGGCCAGTGGCCACACTGTAGCCGGTGCTATGAGGAATCATATTGGGTATCCCGGGTTTTTCACACAATCTTCTGTCCTAACTAGGTAAGGTTCTATAAATATAGGCCAGTGGCCACACTGTAGCCGGTGCTATGAGGAATCATATTGGGTATCCCGGGTTTTTCACACAATCTTCTGTCCTAACTAGGTGAGGTTCTATAAATATAGGCCAGTGGCCGCGTCGCTTTTCAACGCAACTTCAAAATGTGTCTGTTGTATGTAATTACGGTTGATTTTTTCGTGTAAAAAACGCATAAAAGTAGGATTTAAGATTTATATTCTAAAGTATTTCCATGGGCACTTGCTTATAGAATGGATTCGAAAAATATTTTTCGGTGGCCCCCTCCAATCTAAGGTTCTGCAGCCGCAACCTCTATACACGTCTTGAATCTTGGGTTGCTGTGAAAGCAGATGACCAAACTCTCCACCAGTCGGTGTTCAGTTGCAAATAGACGAGATACGTTGCAGTTCATCTATAGAGTTAAGAATTGAAGAAGCACGTGTATGAGGTTAGGGTCGGCAGACACACGGCGTATATTTACTCTGTAACCCTCTTTTATCATTTCAGACGCCATTTTAAGAACAGTGTAATAGATTACTGGTGTTTATTAGCTCAGGGTATCCAGGCTTTACTCGTATCGTTAGTAGTAGGAGCTGTATTTTATCATATAGCTGGTGATCAACATGGTTTATACGACAGATTCGCTTTCTTCTTCACGCTCTGTGGTTTTTATGGTTATTCTATCTCTCAAGATGTTATCACACGCAGTAAGTCTACAGGCTGTTTTACCCCATCATCTTTTCTTTTAACACTGGAGCCACGATGATTCACTGAATAAGCCCAGGGTTCCATACTAGCATTTGAGACAAACTGTGGCCCCGTGCGGAATAAACCGTGGCCCCGTACGGGCTGTACATGATAAAACATCTCGAAAGTTATAGTTAAACATTCCGTATCAACTTCCACCGATACAAAGGGAGATAACTATCGTTTTCAGATGACCTACTTTTATTGCTGCTTTCCAGGACATTGTTTTCAACAGTAGGATATTCTTACCTATATAGTATTTAAGTTATTTTTTATAACAAGATTGAATTGTATTTTTAGATGCTGTTGAAAGAAATTATTTATATTTTGAACTACAAGATAAGATGTATGGACATTTTGCTTATTACGTTGCCAAGGTAACGTTGTTTTCACCACCTCTAGTTCATAAAAATAAATGTCCCAACCCAATCAAAATGTAGATCAGGGCGAGCATCCTTGATTAGTAACATATGAAAAGAGAGAGAGAACTACACATTTCTGATGAAAATTAGAGTCTCAATGGTTATTTCTATCAGCTGGTCCTTGGCCAAACTTCTTGACATTGATTTTAAGAAAAC